TTTTTTTCAGAAATATATTGGAATTTCAAGTCGATTAATATTTTTACATCTTAACTTCACATGTGCTTCTGGCCAATCCTTATTTTTATCTAGACAAGTTAAAATACCCAGTTTTAGCACTGAGTTAAGGTTATTTGTATTTCTTATATACGTAGACTTTCCAGTTGTGGACCAGAATGCTATAGTGCATGGACTGCACAAACACAGGCACAAAAAAGCCTGCCTAGTGTGTCAGATCGGTTCATACTTACTGGATCACTTGGTTCAGCCCCCTTCTGTTAAGGGTATGAACTGTTTGGAGTTTCATCTTGGGAAGAAATGCCAGTTGGTCGTCCTTAGTGTTACTGCAGGCCTGTTTCAGAAAGATACTGAAGGTTCAAAACTACTTTGAGGAACAAAATGTGATTTAATTCCACACCAAATCTATAAGCCTTGCTTCTTCCTCTGATATAACAACTGTACAGGGTGGAGGTTTCAGTGAGCTTTTAAGATGTGTAGGAAAAAACAAAATTTTTCCTTCTGCACAGAGACTCTTGCTAAACTGCTTCCCCTCGCCTACCCCCCCTTTCCATGTAGAAGTAAGGTGACGCATCTACATTTTTTCATTATCCTCAGAGTCCGATCTCAGGTTTTCCCCACTGAGAGGCACGAAATAAAGAGAGGGTTTATCCTTTGTCTTTGTTTCTTCCTGGAGTTGGTCAAACAATAGGATGCGGATAGAAAAGTTGTTCCTGGTCCAGGCCCCGCATTCCTCAGCGTTCCCCCGTGTTAACCCTTGCTGAGTGAGTCAAGTCAGTCCACCGACCTGGCTGAAAACCAATCCTTTTATTCACTATATTGCTTGATCCGTCTCACCCCAGGGTTGTTGAATCGCCAAGCTAACACGCAGAAAGCAGCAGGAGCGTACTGCTGCATGAGGAGGGGGAGCTGTCCCTTTAGGGCAGCCCGTCTGACATCAGCTCCAGCTAACACTGTGGGTTTTCAACACGGCTGAGCTAATCTAATGACCGCTGTCCACAGCCACACATCCATACCATCTTTTTTTGCTAGCACTGGCATTCCTTTAGCCACGGTAAGCCAGTTCGGGGTGTTAACCCACAGAAACCTATTCAGTATTCCTTTTTGTAGGGGGAGTTTTCAATGGCAGATCATTGTGGAGCTTGAGGAGCGTGGCTAGCAAAAGAAAAGCAAGGGAAACACAGCAGGGAGGCTTGACATTCTGATGATAGTTTAATCATAGCAGTGTGCCTGATAAATCTGAACAGGTACCTTAACAGTTCATGAGCTTTTTGTAATCTTAATTTACAAAACTGTTTTGTATGTATGTAATCCTCCAGCAAACACACAGTTTACTCCACATATGTCAGGTGACGATTGAATAATTATTTGCTCAGCGACAATGCTGCAAAGTTGCTGGCTAGTCATATAATACACAGAGGCATTTGTAATCTTATTCAAGAATCTCATCACAGGAAGATACTTTGCTATTTTACAGAGAAGCCAATTGGAATTCAAAGTGCTAAGTACAGTATGTACCTGTAAGTTTACTGAAATTACTGCAAAGCTTTTTTTCCCTGCCTCTGCACATTAAAGGTATGTGGTGTCACCTCATGAGGAGTTTGAGTACAATAGGAATGTACTGCCTCAAGAAAATTGTATGAATGTCTTTGGCTAGGTTTAAAGTATGTAGGGATTAGTATAGATGAGAAGCATAAGTATTTTAGATTGCTTGACCTTATCCTTCCTGATCCAATCTCCTATTACTCGTAACTGCTTTTGTCTCCTACCAGTCTTCCCCTGTTCTTTAGCAGACTCACAATAAAAGAAAATATTTTCTTAATACCTATTCTACCTATTAGTTTAATCAGGATTAAAATGTATCTGCAGAGATTTGCAGGCATATAATGGTACTGGATTATGTGAAAGCTCTAAATTTGAACAGTGGCTTTCTTGTTAAAATATTTCACCAGAAAATATACCACTCTGGGTCTGCCTGTATGTAATTAAGCATTATGGGCTGCAGCTCCGTAGTCAGTAAATTGAAAGAGCACTGTGACGTTCCTGGAGTTACTTTGATATTCCGCTGGAAAGCTTGTGCAACACCACTGGTCAAGATACCCATTTAAGAAGAACAAAACCCGACTGCCTCGCTTCCTTGTACATGGCTAAATGAAGGCTGTTCTGGTTTCACCCAGGATCTTTGGTATGAAGTCTGTGACAGAATGAAAAGGAGGAAGGAGAGGTTTTGGTTGCCCTGTGTGAACAAACGGCCGTTTCACTGTTTGCAGACACAGGCCACAGAACCACCCCCGGGCTGTCCTGGTTTTACACGTGCACACCCAAACGCACGGGACACGCCTGTTACCGGGGTAGGACCCCTAGCATGTGTTCCTCAGACAACCGTAGTTATTTTTTACAGCTTGGGAAACTTAACACAGACAATACTTGAAAATTGCCAAATGATTACTTGCGTTGCCCAATTTTAAACCCCTTGATGTGGTTTTTGGAAGTAATCAGCATTTTACAGCACCTTCCATTCAGAGCGCAGGTCTCGCTTGTCTGTGACGGAAGCTTCCCTCCCTCCTTCCCTCCTTCCCTCCTTCCCTCCTTCCCTCCTTCCCTCCTTCCCTCCTCCCTCCCTCCCTCCCTCCCTCCCTCCCTCCCTCCCTCCCTCCCTCCCTCCCTCCCTCCCTCCCTCCCTCCCTCCCTCCCTCCCTCCCTCCCTCCCTCCCTCCCTCCCTCCCTCCCTCCCTCCCCCCCCTCCCTCCCCCCCCCCCCCCCCGTGCAGAGCTCAGTTTAGGTGCCCTGCCATAAGCTCCGCTGTGGAGGGGAGTTGGAATCTGAGTTAGCAGAATAATTTTTACTTACTCTAATTGTAGAGACCGCTGTTTTTATCTCTTACAATCTCCTGTCATCTTCCCTTCGCATACTGTGGTATTTACAGGTAACTAAACTGAAGAGCCTAGAACCTCAGCCATGCTCAGTGCACTACTGTGTTTTACTCGGCGAGAGGCTCTGCTGTTTGGTGACCGAAGTGTGGGCAGGAAGCCTGTAGAGGAAGATGTGTAAATGAAGCCTCTGCTGTAATGCACAGTTAATTAACCCTGCATTTTTAAGCTTCTCGGCTCTTTCTGTTCCATAATAATGTTCTGGATATAATGGAGCTAAAAGTATAGTTTTACCTGAATAAAATGAAAACAAAACTAGTGGCAAGGAAATTTTATCGTGAAAAATGACGTAGCAGTTGTTAGCATAGGCTAGTAGCTGGACTTAGACCTGTTGCATGCATTTGCACTTGAGGTTACTGAGTAACTGCAGGAATAGGCTGTTCCCTCCTGTGTAAACCTGCTGCTAGAAACCATACACGTAATTTAGCCATGAGTATTGTGGGGGGTTTGTTATCAGTGTGTGAATGTAGATACGGAAAACTGCTGAGATTAATTCTGGTTTCTCTGGCAAGTTAAATTCTCCCTGTACAAACCTCTGTGCACCGACTTGTCCTCCTTTCCTGTCTGATCCTGTCCAACTCTCACCTCACTTGGCCTCTGCCTTCCAGCTTTGTGCTTGCGTGTCACCCATCTCCTGTGGCAACCTTAACTTGCCAGCTCCTAACTTGTATGCCTGAGTGTGCAGCCTGGTGTTTCAGTGATCTCTTTCAATGATCTGATCTTGTGTGAACTATGCTATTCAGGGATATGATCTCCAATTATAGGATGTGTGCTTCAACATGAGTTTGGAAGTGGTTGGAAGGTTAATGCTATGAGCTAACAAGCTGAATCACACTGTATCTGATCAGGATGAAATCATCCAAGAGTACAGTGGTAGATATGCTTAGCCACAGCATGTATTTTTGAAAATGTGCAAGTGCAGTATAGAGAAGCCTCTGTAAATTGTTGGTAATTAACTTTTTGTTTTGTTTTGCTCTGAAATTTGAAGCATTTCATTTCTATCCTCACAGTAGTATAAATGCTTTTGTTAGAGACTTGTCATCTGCACCACCAAGGTTTAGTGCACCTAGTCCAAGCATATGAAAACTCCTAATCTATAACTCTTAACAGTATGATGCTGAAAGCTGAGATTTTTTTCCTGAACTGCTGATATGGATGGGGAGAACTGCCAAGATGCTTAAGCTGAATAAAGATTTTTCTGCCCAGTGCTTATCTAGTCTTGCTGCTTTTATTTGGGGTATAATAGCAAATGACCACCGTGTTTCATTTTTCACAGATGCTACCAGACCTGAAGGCAGACAACCAGAGGCTAAAAGATGAAAATGGGGCCTTGATCAGAGTTATAAGCAAACTTTCCAAATAAAGGGTTTACTACAGCAGCAAATAACGGTATTGCACATCACTAGTAACTCCAGTGGACCATAGTATGGCAGTCACTGGAAGTGTGAGAAGATCCCTTGGAGACTGTCATTTTCAGATATCCTGCCAAACGCCCTCTTACCTGTGTGTTTTTTTGTATCAAGATCATTGTTTCTGTTAAAATGCAGCTGCTGAGAAGATAAAATGACTGAGAAATCTTGTTTACAGCTACAGCATAATAAGGAAAGTGTTCAAGGCCAGATACGCCTCAGATATTTAACCAGTAAGCCTTAGTTGTACATAAACACTTTTACATCAACAAAAGCTTTCAGCTCTCACAGAAGACAGTTACTCAATAACGTTTTTGTTGTGCCACAATTCCCAGTTTTTTCTATACTCAGTTTTTCTTTAAATCTTAAGTTTGGATTCTTTTTTTTCCCTTCTAATTATTCATGTACCAGATTTGCTTGTACAGTGTTTTCACAGCTTTACCATTTGCAGAGACCACACACCCTTTTAAATTACGTATTTGTGTAGCTACCTAGAGTTGTGTTGTCCAACCACCTGGAACAGAGATGTTTGGTGGAACATTTGCTTTCACTGTTTGTGCAATATGCATTTATTTCCTATACAAAATGCTTTAAAAGTCAGTTGAAACTAGAAATATTTTAAGAGTCCTGTTTTCTGCCTTTATTGGTCACTTTAAAAAAAAAAAAAAAGTTTGTAGTGAAAGATGTTAGATCCTGTAATCGTCACATTCATTTGAGCAGGTACTGAGTGATGCTGTATATATAAATGTGTACTGGTTTGATTTTTCAGACCACCACGTGGCATGCTTGAATATATTTCCCTATTGCAAATGTCTGTTAATGCAAATTAGGCTACTCCAGAATAGTGTGTTTAACAAAGTTCATTAATTTTTATGGTATAAAGAATTTAGACATTGTACATTGTATGGAGCCCTATCTTTACAAAAGGTCTAAACTATATAAAATACTTTATTATCTTTTCCTCCCATTTTTTTTTCATTTGATAGTGTTCACCATAATAAAAATTGCATAAATATAACTGCTTCACTACATTTCACATACCTGTATTTATCTGAGTGCTGTCCAAAACTGTTGTGCTAGCCAAAGTAATGTACTAAATCATTTGAAAAACATAACCCATTACACTCACATTAATGTTTATATGCACTGTTGTTGCCATGTGAGAAGGCATCCAATTTGATAACGGCGACATGTCAGACCATTTTATACATTTCAGTGGCCTTTAAAAACAAAAAAGTACTTAAGTGAAGATCGCTTTTGTTAGAAACAGCTTTTATATTTTCACTAAACCATTCAAAATACAACATCCTATTGGCACATAGTTTATTGCCTAAAACCACTGAACAGATCAGCCATTAAAACAAATTGTACATTGTAAAGCTTGTAGTAGCTATTGTATTATTGATTATATTGTATACTATATTAAATGTGAATTTGTACCCCTTCATTTAAAAAGGTCATTGTGTTCTACTGCCTACTGGGGGGATGGGGGTTAGTTTTGCGGGGGTGGGATATGTTTTGGTAAGGAAGACATGATGTCCTCTCTCTGTTGATTGGTTTTTTGAAGATGTAAGGTTATGCTCTTACTACCAAGCTCAGGATTCTTGATTTTAAAGGTACACAGATAGTTTGAGATATCTTATTGTAATTGATCTGTATGAGAGGTGGGTCTGAACCATAGGAACTTCCATTGTCTTAGGCTAACATAAAATAAAGAATTGAATGGCTGCAACATATTGAGTTCTGTTACAAGACAGTTAGGCATATTCTGGATTTTATTTGGTAAAGTTTGGGTGCCTGTGAATGATTAAATACGTGTTTCTAATATTTTAGTGTTTTATATTTAGGTTATTTATTCTTTATATCTAAAAAAATGAATGGCTACTGTGCTATATTGATTTTATTGGTAGTACTGAGCAGACCTTGTATCTGCATGAAACTAGTTGCAAAACCCACTATTTTGGAAAAAAAAAAAAATTGTATTTTGACATATACAAATAAAATGAATACAAACTATTTTAAATGTGTGAAAGTTTTACTGAGAAGACATTGAAATTTGTTATGAATTTAAACCGTGCTCTAAGTTTGCTATTTAAATCCTTTGGTGGGCATTTTTCATTCACTGCGTTACTTGGATGCAAGGTTCAAGTACCTTTCAAAGATTGTAATCAAATTGTGATTATTTGCACATCATTGTACATGCACATCTGTAAATGCAACAGTAAAAATGCCATATTTATGCAACCTGTAACAACTTGGACAAATGTTTATATATATTTTACATAAACCTGTCTGTGTGCAGAATCTGAGAACCATTTTTTACGTGATACTACCCGAATCTCACAAAGCAGTTGCCAAACTTGTGTCACCGTCGTATCGCACCGATCGCGTTGCAGATCAGCCCGGTCCCCTGAAAATCCACCTCCCACAGAGCAAATGGGCGGTGGAGGAGCGGTCGATCATTTAGGAGACGGGCTTCGTGCGAGAAATACCTCACTGGTGGCTGCTGACTGGCAAGCTTCCTTAGGCCACTAGTGGCTTAAATGGTAATGCAAAACAGCAACTTTGATTTTTCAGGGGACTTGTCCCAGTGTGGAAAGGGCTCTTCATGTCCCAGCTTTAACATCAAATGCTTATGGAGGCGTGGAAGTAGCTGGTGCTGGAGAGCCGGGAGGCAAGGGGCCTGCCTGGCGCCAGGCGCAGCCGTGCAGGGAGCCCCAACCTGGGGAGGAGGCGCGAGGGCAGGTGGGAGGGGGGCCGGGAGCGGGGGGCAGCGTGCCTGCGAGACAACGGCCTCACCCGCCAGCTCCGAACCGGAGCAGTTGCCTAGAAGAAAACACTCAGGAGCCGGAACTCCATTTTTTGCCCACCTCGTCTCTCTCTCCATAAACAGTTCCCTCTGAACCTCCCTAGTTTCTACTGCACCCCGCTTTCAGGCTTCTGCTCTTTCCTCGCCAGATTCCAAGAGCAGCAGTGGTCGTTCACAGTGTGCAGGTCGGTGCATTTGTTTGCTCGGCACCAAGTACAAAACGTGAGTCTTAGTGTTCCTCTCCTTTAGGAATATCTTCCACGCTAAACTTTGGTTTGTGATCCGATGAACATTAAGCCGATGGGTATTAATCTTACCTGTTTGATATTCCTGGCCATTGTCCACTTGGTGGTCTTTTAAGAGCAAATACGTTGTCATAGAGCAAGTGTCCTCTCATTTCTTTTTTAGAAAGAGTAACTATTTACATGTCACCTTATAGAAGAGAAAAAAAGGATGCGTTGGGGTAGCTGAAGATACCTGCTTTAGGAGATGGGCATCAAGGGAGAAATTTTAATTATTTCCTTCACCTTTATCATACAGAAATGGGGCCCATACAAGATGACTCCTACCCCGGCTAGCTGACTTTCCCATGAGGTTTATAGGCCAGAGTGAGGGCACTGCTTAATGCCCAAAGCATCCATCCGTGTGCCAGTAGACAGGAAATCTTCACAAAGGAAAGCAGGCAGCGAGGAGGAAGCGTGCCACGATGCTGGGCGTGGAGAGGCAACACCGTGTCAGTAAATGAACATTTCACATGGAGAAAGGCAGGGGACACATCAGAGCAAAACTTGTCCGAAGTCAGATTTCAGGACCCCATCACATCCAACTCCCAAATGGAGAAAAATTGGCCAGAGCTACCATCAGTATGAATTATGCCTTGCTGCTGGCTTGTAATACTGCTCAAGAGGCAGTATTAATATCCTTTTAGAGGAAGCGATGATGCAGATAATCATCACGCTGCCTCCTACTCCATCTGGGTGATCCTGGAAGTGGCTTGACTCTCCGCAGCTGGCACTTCACAGATCCTCTCTGGGTGTCTTGAGGCTTTGCCCACCTGGGTGGCGCACCCCCTTGTCTCGGGCATGCTGCGTGGGGTCCTCTGGCAGAAGCATTAACAGAGGTGGCCAGGTCTGCCACGCTGCAACGTGGTGCGGCCACGGGTCCCTGGAGCTCCGCGGGGCGAGGGGTGCCGGGGGCTCTGGGCAGCTGTGGCCTCAAGCCTGTCCAGAGTGGAAGGTGTCAGCGGCCACATTTCCAGTTGTGCTGAAAGTCCCCTTTCCCCTTTTAATGGGAGCTTCAGCTTCTCTAACTTGGCACGATGCAGCGTGGGCGGTAGATAATTTTGACGTTTTAATTGTGCAACTGAGAAGCTAAGATGTTTTATAGATTAATTCCGAGATACCCTCTGAAGGACTGTCACAGCAAAACACGACACAAATTCACGACATAATGTAGAGTTTAAAAAAGAAAAACTCCACAGCCATACACACATTACAGAATTATTTGTGGAGCCTGTTTTTAAAGAGAGTGGAGAAAGAGTTGTAACTGCATTGTAGAGGGTTGCTTTCCCACCTGCTTTAAATCTTAAAATAGTTTTATTGTAGCACCTCTGTGAAATTACAGGGTTTTTTACCCATGTGGGAATAGCCTCTGTCCATTGCAGACAGAAGAAACCATTTGCTTAAGTTTTTCAGAAGAAGTTCTCGCTGCTCATGGTCATGTAAACAATGTTAACATTGAGCTATGGTGATTCAGCTTCCTCAACTTCTTCGGTCAAAGCCACTAATAACAAGGGTGAAAAATGTTGGTGACAAGAGTCAGTTGCTTTACATTTGTTTTGATTGCAAGAGCAGCAGCTGGGGGTTTGTTAGAGTAATAGCAACTAGTATTTGCTCTCCCTCAGCATAAAGTAAGACTAGAACAGTCCTGAAGGTGACTGCAGGGTCCTGCATGGAAGGCAGAATTAAATAAATAAATTTAAAAAAAAAAAAAACACAACAAAAAAACAACCCTCCCCAACTACAATGAATTGTTCATACTTTAAAGGGAGAGCTGCTGCCACACTGATGAAGTCATCAGCTGTTCTTGCTCGTGTCAGCACCTCCCCATTTTGTATTACTGATTAGATAGGAAAAGTATGTAGCCTTTAGAGAAAGGAGGAACTGTTCATTTTTTCCTCTAAAAACATCACCTGTTGGATGTCTAATGTTTCTGATCTGGCCCAGGGATAATTACAGCAGGGACAAAAGCCCCACATTCCAACCCTAATTATTTCACCCATCTTACCTGGGTTCTGCATGTCTGTTTCGTAAGCCTATTGAAGCTTAGCAGAAGTAGTTAGCCAAGACAGCACAATTCATTTTCCAGTGTGGTCTTTTCCCTTTATTTGTGAGAGAAAAAAAACAACCAAACAAACAAAACAAACCAAACAAACAAAAAAAACAACCAAACAAAACCAAACCAAAACCAACACAGTGTCCCGTGCATCCCGTCTGCCTGCACCGCCGCCGCTGGGGCCCCCGGCACGGCTGGCCGCTGTGCCTCCCCTTGCCCCCTCACCTCCCCCAAATAGAAAATAGCCCCCTTGCCCTCACTGCTGTCTGTATTCTATAGCCCTGATTTAATGGTATGTCTCTACCTCAAAAAAAAAAAAAAAAAGACAGGCCTTGTCTAAGGGAGTTGCTCCATTACAGCTAAAACAAAGCTACTGCTCTCTGTGAGTTGTTACCCTGACCTGCACCCTAAGCCTTCCAAAGAAAAGAGCACGACTTCATTACATCAGCTGGTACAAAATGCACATTTACACCAAATTTACACAAAATACACATCTAGCTACACAGCCCGGTCACTGCCCAGAAAGAAGATTTAATGAAAAAGTGAGTTTGTTTAAAAATAAAAATCCACATTTACCTCAGCTGCTGATACCGTGGGCACAAGTGTCCAGCTGTTACCAGCTCACCTCTCTATTTTTAACTGTAGGAAAAGCAGCAAATTATGCCAAATTCCTTCCTCCCGCTTAATCCACGGCTATAGGTGCTGCGTTGGGTTCAGTAAGTCGCCTAGTAACTCGTTCTCAGCTCCCCTTGTATAAAATGCTCTAGGAAAACAAGAGCACTTTACTATGGGCTTTTACTACGCTTCTGATCAGCTCTAAAATTCTAAGGGCGTGGGGGGAGGCGGAAGCAATGCTCCCTAGGGCCTGAAGTGCTAATATTTCTGAGCGAGGTTCTGCCTAGAAACAGTGACACCGAGCTCAGTTTTCAGCCGGTGAAGGAGCCCGGAGCGGGGAAGGGCGGGCGGCTGAGCCGGGAGGTGGCACCAGACGGCTTCTCTTGGGCTCCTCCTGGGCTCCCCCCGGGCTCCCTCTGAGCATCCTCCCCTGGGCTCCCCCCGAGCTCCCTCTGAGCATCCTCTGGGCTCCCCCCGAGCTCCCTCTGAGCATCCTCTGGGCTCTCCCCGGGCTCCCTCTGAGCATCCTCCCCTGGGCTCCCCCCGAGCTCCCTCTGAGCATCCTCCCCTGGGCTCCCCCCGAGCTCCCTCTGGGCTCCCCCCGGGCGAGCTGCCACCACACCGGGCAGCTCTGAGCCGGGCAGCAAGGCCCAGCATCTGAGACTCGGCCGGTGTTTGGGAGGGCAGCATGGTTTCTATAGCTTTTTTAATTTCCCCCCTCCCCTCCCTTATTCCCTCAACAGCAATACACTGGAATGGCTCAAACGACAGCGACTCGAGGAAATTCTGCCTCTGTTGTAAGTTGAGCCGGTTCTAGTATGACAGATGAAGCGCGGCAGAGAGCAGCAATCTCAAATTAATTTAGACACAAGGGATGCACTGAGTCTGAACGTGGCGAGGACTCCTTTTAAATATCTTATACTGAAAGCCTGCAAAAGGAGCTGCATGATTTAACACCCTGGCAATGGCAGAGTGAGCTCTCGGCTCGGGCGGTGAGCTGAAATCCATCCCATGGGGAGCCAGGAGCCGTAACCCAAGTAGGGCTGCCCAGTGGGCCCGGGGGAGCGGAGCCCTGGGTGAGCGCTGGCAGGGGAGGGACCTGCTGCACAGGCAGCGTGCCCGTACGGTGTGAGGAGACCTCCAGCCGAGGAGCAGACACTCACCAAGCGCCACAGGACAGCCCTGCTACAGCTGAGAGAGAGGAACAGCGAAAAAAAAAAAAAAAAAAAAAATCCTCCATATCAAAAGTTGTCAAGCCAGCAGTTCATAGCAGCACTGCACTTGGCTGTAATTCCCCAAACACTGGTTAACTCCTTCTTCCTCAACCCCCTTTCAAGATGATCACTGGGTACGTGTGTTGCTTCGCTCTGTAACCAGAGCACTCCGTATACCACAAGGTCCCCGGAGTCCTCCCTTTGCCCCCTTCAATCTCTCCTCCCTGTTCACTGCCTGGCAAGCACGCACAGCACATCTTTCTCCTCAACCTTTTCTCCTCAGCTCTGCATGGATAGAGTTCTGCCCCTATTTCCAAGCCACCATACGCAATTCTTTTCTGTGCAGGAGGGGGCTTTGAGGTCTAATTACATTCCCCATTAGCTCTGGTGATAGCTGCAATAACCAAAAGACCCCAGAAGCCACTTCCCCTGGGACCTTGAGTGCTCTCTGAATTTCCCTGTGTCTGGGGAGTGGCACTCAGAATTGCTACAAGCAGACACTGAGTGCAAGAACTCCCTTCATACTTTACTAACAAGTCACTACAGGCTTACTGACGTGCCACAGCTGCTGGAAAAAACAGGCTTTCCTCTGACTTCTGCTCATCTCAGCTGTCAGTCTTCTCAGTCGCTCCTGTGTGCCACCCGATCACCAAGACCCTCCTCAGACATTCAGTTCCTCGCATTTTTCATTCACTCCTGGTACTTGCTGCCTATTTCTGCCCCCTTAGACCATCTCCCATCCTTCTGCTTGCTTTTTCTACTCATTTGCTGCTTCTCTCTCCTGTTTCATTCTCCCTTCAGGCCTAAACACTGGTCATGTCTTCCTGAGCCAATTGCTCTGCAGTTGTATTTTCTATTGACCTTTCTACCGTCCACAATTCCTCTCTCCACAACTCCAGCAGCCTCGATGCTTTGCCTGCTCTCCCTCCACCTCTGTTACCTCCCACTCCCCCTTTCCTCGCACTGCCTTAACCAAGCTCCTCAGAAACACACATCCCCAATGGTTTCAAAGACCCCATTAATCTTTTCCTGATCCCTGGGTCTTTTTTTCACATATAACCTAATCTTTACTCAGCAGGAATGTCTCCACCCAGCTATTTAGTTCCCACCTACTCTCAATTCTCTCTAATCCAAGGGGAATAAACTAAGCACTCTAGAAATCACCTGTTCCCACTTAATCCAGTTACTCCCCTCCTTGGGAATTAGCACTGTTTTTAATATTTTTCTCCTCCATAATGCTAAACAGTTTCAGGGTGAAAGCAGTGAAAGGTCTTGCACTTCTTCCCTTGTTTTCTACCCATCAAGGTGTTTGCAGGCAAACAGCCATTCACTGCTTCTTCCTCAGTTTCCTTTCGTCCCTTTTTGAGAGTCCAACAACAAAGCAAACAGGTAAGGGGATACCTGTTGGGTCCTACTACCTAATTTGGAAACAAATAGTCTAAACTGACCATCGGCTGTGGATTTGCTTGTGGTCAGGACAAAGTATGCAGCTCGTCCTCTTTCAAGTAACTTTTTAACTTAAAATGTCTTTTCGGTACGTATTTAAATCTTGGCATCTTAAATACATTAGCAGTTTTCACCTTGAAACAGCAAGGAATGTATATTATGACCAAAACACAAAAATATTTTTTAAGCATTATCCACATTTGTTTATATAAAATCGTTACAATGTAGGCACACAGATTTTGTTTCAATTGTTCACACAAAAATTCAGACCCAAGCTTTCATCCTAGATATTTACAGCATGGCCTTGTATCACTGAAATAAGTTTAATAATATAAAATACCAACATCATTTTAAAAATAGGAAGCATGCTTCGTCTTTTATGTTCTTTGAGCTATTCTCTCCCTTTATAGTCTGGTTTCACACGCACAGACTCTGAACTCTTCCAAGTGCTTCCCCCTCCTCTGCTTACACTCACTGATATGTCACAGCCATTGATTGATTGCTGTTTGTGTTTGGTTTGGGCACTTCCAGATGATTGCTACTAATAATCAGTACTAAATTCCTGAAATATCTGCCTGATTCCTTTCACAAGGCAACCTCGTTACGGTCTGCCGTATGAAACACAGTAGGCCCCAGGAATACTGTGGTGCAGGGCAAAAATAATCGCCAAATGAACGGATAGCTCAAACAAAGCATTGTAAAAAGCCATCACACTAAATTCTGCATGCATCATCTACTGCATTTCAGCGAAGGCCAAGTTTCTTAGTCAGTCAGCTCTCTGAGATCTGTCAGCCCTGACTACGGTCCTTTTGGGACACAGCTTCACGCCCACTGCATATCCTTGGTGCTGCACTTTGCTACTGCACGCAGCTCGTCACCTGCATGAGGTTAGACCGAAAAGATGCAGGTGCAACAGTTTAACAAAGAGGTACACAGTGCAAATCAAGAGACCTCATCAATTTTTACTGACTTTGTATTGGACCTTCAAAAAAGCAAAATATTTCTTAAGAGCTAGAGGGTTGTTAATTAATTAAAAAAAAAAAAAAAAAGTCCTGAAGGGTTATAAATTGCAACCGGTACCAACAAGACACAGACAGACAGTGAGCCAGTAACCACTGGATTTGGTTTCTGATTATTCATTTGCTTGTTTACCTTTGGAGATACCAAAATGCATGAACCTAATTGTCTCTGGTGTGAACCAAAATCTGTTTAACAATGTTTTAAGCTGTAATGAGAGCTAGCTGTATAGAGGTGACTGCGGTCACAGAATGCTGTCTTCAGGAAGAGTGAAGAGGCTCTGTAGGTGTTGGAAAGGTATCGTAAATATTAAAAGCCACAAAGGTAGTGTTATTCAGATAACTTAAGGTTATCTTAAGAGTAACTGAAACCTATGATATTACTTCTGTCCTATGAATAGGTACAGTCAGCTCTTGATCACCGAGGTGACAGTAGCCTAGATGGCACATCAGCTTGACCACCCGGCGGCTCCCCCGCTAGCTGATGGTGGCAGCCCAGCTGCCCACACAGGGTGTCCCCAAGAACTCAGGAGTCTCGAGGACAACATGGCACAAAGACATGCCCCAGAAAACACCCAAGGCTAGCTTACATATGGAAAACTTCACAAGCTCTCTCACTCTCTCGGAGGAATACAGAGGTACCAGAGGCACCTCTGTCTGAAAGCAGTTCATTCCCAAAAGGGCAAGTGTGGAGGCTGGACTAACGAGCCAACGTACGGGCACATCCAATTCCTCTGCGTTACGCTCTCTG